TATCTGCCTCTACATTTAACTCACAGCCGTAGTTGTAGGTGTGCAACTAACATTACCTTGGTATCACTGCACACATGTGAAGGACAGCTTTGAACGTCCGTGCCTTTCTCTCCATCCAACCAATCAGAAGTTACATCCCCAGTAACACATGATCATCTGAAACTTTTCTGCTGTGCAACATTTTATTTTATACTATTTTAACTTTTTTGAACTTTTACTTTACTACTTGATCATTGAATTGTTTCTAACGCAGCATTTCGTCTGACGTTTTTGGACATTTGTGTTTTTTTACTTGTTCTCAGTAACGTTGCGCAGAATCTTTGTGACAATAAAAACATGTTTACTTTAATGCCCGAAAGGAAAATGTAATGTTTTCAGATCACATCTGTTTTAATGGGATTGTTCATATCTCACGGAGACATTCAGTCGCCCTTTTCTTTGGGAACTACATTTTACAAAGGGAGCCACAAGATAAGCGGATGAAACAGACATAAACCTAATTGGCTCAGGGAGACTGCATCTTTGGTCTATATGAACCTGTCAGACAAAAAGCTGACCTCAGCAGCGTCCTCTTGAAGGTAAAGCGCCCGGAGGGTGAATTCTAGTGTATTTGCAATGTTAGCCAACCATCAGTCGCCTGTGTCTGACTACAAAGGTTTAAAACTGCTGAATTTTTTTATAAGACCAGCACAAGTGCATTAACATACACCCCGGGAGGCTGAGAGAGCTGTTAGTTTAAAAACTTTGTTTTCAATGCTTGTTCCTGAAAAGAAATATAGATAAAAACACATAAAGGTTAAAAATAAGGGCAAGCACAAACAAATACTTGTTGTATTTCTGCACTGGTTTTCCAGTTTTCTGTTAAATTATCACAGAAGGATCCTGGAAAACCTCCCTCCTCTCTGAGCTGAACCATCATCTGTCCATGTTTGAACCTGTGCCCAGAGGACTGAGTCTCACAACTTTCATTTTTTACATTTCCTTTTTTTTTAGAAACAAATTAAACATTAACTTTTAACTTCAGATTCATGTTCTCGTGGTTTTTTTACACAATTTTTTTAAACAAAGTGTACATTTGCGCTTTTCTGGAGCAGACTGGAGCGCTTCAGCGAGTGCTGCCTTCAGTTATCACTGATATGAAAAGGCCCACGTGGTTTATTATATGTCTACATGTCATACAAATTATCAACGTCATATAAAAAAACTGCAGTTTTACTTCTACAACCAAAAACCTGCTGATTTGGAGGAAGAGAAGAAGAAAAGATGAAAGTCACGGTGCTTCTGTGGAGAAGCACCGTTACAGTCTTCTCTCTCATACAGGCTCCTCTTGGCTGTCCTGTACTGAAGCTTTAAAACTAGACTGGAAAAGTGTGTTTTCTCATTGTTTTTTGTTTGTAATATGTTTTTATTGGTAAAAATTTTATGTAACAGGTGTGTAAATATATAGCATGACTCAGTGAGGAAGAGAAGTAATGTCAATATGAAATGGCTCATTAAAAATGTTATTTCCGGCCATTGAACCTTCACTCGTTTCCACTCTGGTGCCTTGGCCTTTTCATTTTACAGGAAAGATTTCCTGTTTTCAGCTCAGTAAAGTCTAAACTCAGAACTTACACAACATTTTCTGATTTGAGGTAAAAATGTCTGAATGTAATGCAGAATTTAGCAGCAGAGTGTATGTAGGACTATTGACTGTTTCAGCTGTTTCTGTTGATTTTAGTTAAAAAAAGAAAAAAGGAATGGATGACTTTTAGTTTAGGGTGAGGTCTGCAATAAACACCTGGATGCTCTCATGACCCAACGTGTCTTGTCTTTCTCAAATAGAAAAATTTGATTTGGACACAGAAAAAGCTCAAAAATGGATTTTAGATTTTATGTAAAATCACCACAAACCTGTGATTTGGGCTCAGTGGGAATAAATCAAATATACTTTAGCTTTTGTCTACTGCGAGGTGAGAACACACTTGCTTTAAGTTGACATATTTTCTTTCAAACTTATTTTTGCTTTAAATGTCTTGTAGCATTCTTCTTAAAAATGGCATTTGCACATGA